GATACTGTGTTTTCTGTGGAAGAGTTTAAATCAGCCAGCAATTCTGGTGCTGTTTACCATTTATGCCTTTTGCAATGTGTCGCCCAAATTCACAACTGAGAATTCACTCTGCTTCTGACTAAACATCTTCTCTCCTTATTCTCAACAGTTTTCTCTTTCCTTCTTAGAGAATATTGCACATCGTATCTGCATATTCTCAATTATTTATATACATTAATCTTTGTGAATATTCTTCTTGAGCTCTTGTTTCGATTGATATCTTTCTTTCGAGCCATTTGAAGGTTAAAACTGAAAATATTTTATTATTTTAATAATTAACAAGAGCACTGAAGTAGACATCATCAGACTGACAAGAAATATTAATAAGAAAGTGAGAATGACTAAGAAAAAAAAACCTGATTTCAAATTTGCAAACTATTTCCGTGCATTTTGAATTTGTATAAGCAGCTGCGTACACATTTTCTCAAGAATTAGATTTTATACGTAAACCTTCCATCAAATACTGGGCGCGATGGCTGAATTGTCGCCATAGATTTTTTTTGTTTTTACTTTCGCGTATTCGCGAGGCTTGTTTTTGATTTTGTTGACTGCAGAGTATAGTAATATCAGTTGGATAAGAAAAAGAGCACTATGACGAAATGACGCACCATGACTCCAACACAAATTTGTAAACGGCATGCTTTACTGGACCCTTTATTTTGATCCCTGGGGTACACTGTTCTAGTTCAACGTGTCATATTTAATGGATATAAATTATCAGTTATCCCCTGTTAATTCCCCGCGGTTAAGCCAGTGGAGACCTTGGAGAGGGGAATTAACATGAGATAACTGATAATTGACATCCATTGAACATAGCACATAGAACTATAACAGTTTACCCCACTGAGCGAAATAAAGGATTCAGTTCGACATTCCAACCACCTGACGAAGGCCGGAGCGTACAACGGCCGAAACGTTGTAATAAATATGATAACAAAGATGAGGACAATAGTCTGAATAATGTAAATAGTCATCATCATGGTGTTTCGACTGATCACTCCAGTCATCTTCCCACAGGATCTCAGACTCAACACAGAGGCCTACATCAAATGGACGAGGTAGTGCTGCCCTGAGGGTGATTGCTGGAAGACTCTATGTCTGGCAAGAGGAATCTGCACCATGCCACACAAGCAGAAGAACCCAGTCATGGTCGTCAGACAATTTCTGTTACCTCTTACATCTGGCTACCTAACTCCATAGACTGCAACCCCCTTGTTATGTTGGGGGAGAAGTTGTGTGAGAGGCCAATACAACTCCTTGTAACACCAAAGATGAATTGAAGAAAAGGATTATGGCAGCATTCACCAACTGAGACCGTCCAAAAGAGATGCAGGAGACTCCGAGGTCGTCAGGATGCCGTGGTTGAAGACAATGGAGATTCTATTGAATACGTTTACTCTTTAGTATTTCAAGATATTTTTGTGTAATTTCGGTAAATATATCTGTTAAAGTGAGATGTCAGTTTTATTTTAATTTTTGCGTAATTTAGATGACATCGCGTCCTGCAGGATTCAAAAGAAACTGACAAATTGGTCCGTTTCAGCAAACAGAGAGATGAGGATTATATATAACTATTTCTAATATGCTCATTGCATAAAACCTTGAAAAAAGTGCATAAGATTTTAATTTATACTGCGATCTAAAACTTTTCTGGGGGTGGCTGAAAATGTTTACACTGTATTGTATATAATTAAAGATGTTTGACAAGGCACTGCGATTAAGCATTTTATTTAATTTTTCTTTTCTTCTTTTCTAGTCACGAAGTGTGTAAAAACTTTCCAAAGGTTCTATATATACGAGCGCTTTCTGCTATTCTTTTATCCATTATCAGGGACGATTTTTACTTTTTATTTTTAACTGAATGTCTGGTATCTGAAGTTATAAGAATGTTTTAGTATCTGAAGTTATAAGAATGTTTTAGTACAGTGTAACCCGGATATAAGAGACCTGGATATAAGAGAAACCCGGATATAAGAGAGACTTTCTCTGGTCCCAAATTAGAGCCTGTGTTAATGTATATAAAATAAACCAAACCCGGATATAAGAGAAACCCGGATATAAGAGAAATCCGGATATAAGAGAAACCCGAATATAAGAGAAACCCGGACATAAGAGAAACCCGGATATAAGAGACTTCTTCTCCGGTCCCGACAACACTCTTATATCCGGGTTACACTGTATCTGAAGTTATAAGAACGTTTTAGTATCTGGAGTTATAGGAATGTTTTAGTTTCTAAACACGGTTAGCATGTTCGACATTTTATACACATTTTGTGTGTAGAAAAAGTATGAACACAAAAAAAATTAAATAAAACGCTTAATTGCATGCCTTGTCAGTGATATTTAACGATATATATATATATATATATATATATATATATATATATATATATATATATATATATCTGGTTTCAATTCTGTAACCATACTCCCGCCTATATATATTGAAATATATATATATATATATATATATATATATTGTCATCCACAGCCAGACTGTTTCGCTGCATCACAGCTCATCCGTGTGTCTAGACGTCCGATTGCCTCTAGCTAGGATCAAAACCCGGCTGAAATGGCGTCAGTCGGGGTATTCTACCACTAAGCCGCTAGCGCACGGCAGGGATGACGGTGAATTTAAGCGTATTTATTTTCAGATAAACATACAGTGACTGCAAGAACTCGATTCGATTTACCGAATAGTCTTGCATTATTAGCCGTAATAGTCACTGTTTACAAGCCCACACTTCCTCCCCATATCTTCCTTAATTTAGAACATATATCTAAATTTCATATTAAATATGTTTTTCCGTTAGTTAAATGACATTAAATATATTTTAAGTAGATCATATATACAATAAATAATGGATTTAATAAAAACTATTTTAATCTTTATTTGACTGTGTCATTTATATTCGGTTTATTTACGATGAAATGAAAGTCAGTTAAATTTTAAACACCAATTAAGAGATGAATTTAAATCAAGCATCAGATTGGCCAATTTTTCAGCGAACATTAAATTTGAAAATAAGGATAATCAAAAAATCCAAAAATAAAGTGATATTTATTCCATATTTTCCGAATAATCCAGTAATAAATTTCCCAGTCTCTATTCCTCTGATGGAATAACTGAATACATAAATATCAATATAGCCATTAAATTTCAGTTGTGATTGCGGCTATAAGAACTCACTAGAAAATAGTATTTCACCCCAAGTAAGGGACTAAAGCCACAAAGATGAAAGGAATACTGAGTGTGAAAAAAACAGAGAGGATATTAAAAGAACAGGATTCAAGGTGACAGATGACGACGATTGGTATTGCACTTAATATTTTGAAGATCTTAGTTGTAGACAATATCCTCAAAGATGAAGTAATAAAAATGTGGGTCTACAGAAGGATGCTGAGGATACTATTGCCCGAACATGTGATCCAGCCACGACGAAGTTTAGGAGAAAATGGAAACAAAAACGAAACTAATATTTAACATCAAGAGGAAACTGTTGAGGCTTATGGGGCATATTAGGAAGGAGGGCTTGGAAAATCTGATACACACAGGACCGTTAGAGGGTAAGAGGAAGAGAGGAAAGCAACGCAGGACATACTTAGTGATCTTGACTAAATCGATGGCGGAACATCGTATAGGAGAAGTAACAGGAAGCAAAGTTGATTAAGCGCTACAATGGATAGGAAGTTGTGGTGAGCCATGATCGTCTACGTCCTGAGGGGACACCGCACATAAGAAGCTGAAGGAGAATTCCACAAGCGTGTAGTGGTGGAGAAGAAATTATTAGTATAGAACTTTACGGTTACAATTATTAATTTAATCTTTGAAAATATGGGACCTAGGTGCCAATCCAGTACTGCTCTTATGTCGAGATACCAAAGTAGAAAGAAAAAGGAGCATGAAAATATTTATATAAGGCAGTGAAAAAGTAACTGAAGTCAAGATGTCAGATCAGGAACGAACGGTGGTGGTGATGGCTCTTCTTTCTACGTCGTCATTTCATTCTTTACCACCACCCTTTCGTTTTGATCTGCCATCCATTCTGTAGGTTACTCTGTTTTTTACGCCCGCTTCTCTTGCCTTCAATAGCTCCTGTGACTCGTTAATTTTCGTACGCCTTATTTACTCATTATATGTCCCAGAAATTCCATCAGTCCCATTCTTGTTTCCTTATTCTCTGTTATTCTTATCCCCCATATGATTACAAATATTTGTTCGGAAAAGCCAGTGAAAATATAATTTTACCGTGAGATCGTCGGAAGCAGTTCGTCAGGTGCCAATAACACAACCATCAGCATACAAAATGAAGTGTAATTTGGTGGGGGTCGTCCCCACTCCCTCTGGTAATATTTATTTCCAAAAATATACTGCTGGTAATATTTCTTTTTTTTTTTTTCAAAAATGTATTACTGATATTTAATTCAAAAAGTTGCATTACTAGAATTTTTTTCAAAAAATATATTGCTGGTAATTTTTTTTTCTAGAAATATATTGCTGGTAATATCTTTTTTCAAAAATGTATTGCTGGTAATTTTTTTTTTTCTAAAAATGTATTGCTGGCTGATAATATTTATGAAGTACGTGAGTACGGAAGACACAAATAAAAATTTTTTCTTTAAAGATTGTCTCGGGACAATCGTTCAATTGTAGGTCACTCAAAGAGGATTGAATTTGTAACTACATTGTGGTCTGTAATCTCGTTATCACCTCTTCTTCTAATCCATGACATATCACTTTCAGTATCCCTCAACCTTGAGTGGCTCTTGAGCCTTGCATTGGGTGAAGCTCAGTAAGAAGTAAGGATTCTATCATTACTGCGAAGAATCTGCCCTCAACAGTTCAGTAAAGAAGGATCTGTCTTCCTCAATAACAATTGTGGTTTACCTGTAAGTATCTGAGTATGTATCGTTGTAATACTCTGATGGGGAACAAGTTGCAACACATTTCGCTTACAGTCACGTCACGTTGAAGCACTGGTTACCGCATGATCACCGAAGTTAAGCAACGTCGTGCCTGGTAAGTACTTAGATGGGTAAACGCTTTGGAATTAGTGGTGCTGTAAGCTTGGATGTACGGATGGTCTAATTTATAACTGCTAGGAAATGTTAATTAGAAAGAGTTCTAATTCTGGTTAGGTTTGTTATATTCACTTATGTTGTAGAGTAGTTTTCACAGTGGAGGCTTGTATTTCGCTATGTCGGTCCTAAAATGGTCCAACGTACAAAACGTTAGGAACTTGAAATAATAGTTAATGACGCAGCAATCTAGTTGTGATGGTTGATACTTCAATGTCCGACATCGACTGACTCACTCAACTCCACTGAGCTCTGGCCACTACTACTACTACTACTACTACTTATTATATCTGGGAGAGTCTATTAACCATAGAATAGGTACGTTCCGGTATAACAACTTACGCGTAAATACCCATGTTCGAAACACAACTGTAGTTTACCTAATATGTATCGGGTGACATACTGTTCTAATCGCCTGATGGAGGCGAAGTTACGAAACATTAAATCATGTCAAATGGGATAAAAACATAAATTTACTGGCCTTAGGTAAGTGTGGCACGAGAATGCCAGCTTGATCAATTCCCAGACGATTAAACCGATAACAATATTAAAGGTTTGTGAAACTCTTTTCTCTATGGTTCCCCGGCGATGTCTTTGCGTTAACTGATAAATATCAGTTAACAGATTACTACGAATTCGGTATGTTCTCGGGGATTAAAATTTTGATATTTGATCAACTAGAAAATTGCTTAATCCTTTTGTTTATTCAGGATGGTTTTCTTATTGTACATTTCGATCAATAGACTTGCAGTAAAGATCATACTCAAGTCTTTGTTTGTCCACGGTAGCTTAGACGTGTCCATGACGGATGGGGACAGAAATGAAAAAAAAAAAAAAACTGCGTCACGTAGACAACACCCAGTTTCCCTTGAAAGAGAGAGAAAAAAAAACAAACAAAAAAAACAAACACTTCTTCTAGACGATCAGTAAAAGGAATTATCTTTCACGCTCGATTTAAACGAAATAAAACGAGATTTTTATTTGTTATTTACCAGCAAGAAAACCGTGAAATTGTATATGGGGAAAAATCTGAAGGCACATTTGAATAACGAAAGCAATTTCTAAGGAATTGATTTACATGTTGAGCAACCAAGAAATTAATAGTTAAACCAAGTTGAGAGTGTCCGAGTGTTGAGTGATGGCCTATTCTACCAGATGTCATTGAATAGTGAATAATCTTACCACAGATGAAGGGGAAACTAGAAACAACAGAAACAGGTTTTACAGAAGGATAGTGGGAATTCCGTGGAAGGAATAAGTAAGCATCAAGGAAGTCTTAAAGAAAATGGCAACAAAAAGAACATTTATATTCAGAATCAAAAAAGTGATAGCTTAAATTTTTGGAGACACTTTACAGGGTATATTGACAGTACCGTAGAAAGGGAAAAGCAGTGGCCCACGTATGGTATGAATTGTAGGAATAAATAGCGGAATAGGTGTCTAGAGGTTTGTCAAAATGAGATAAGCTGCTAAGGGCCACGCTGGATAGGAAGACTCATAACTACATGACATAAAGAAGAGAATGAACATACTCAGTCAGATAACGAAATAAGATGCTGTGGATTCCGGGATGAAATCCGGTCTCAGAATGAATGACAAACGCAGGAATGAAATATAGCAAATAAATGTATTGACGTAATAATACAATTGGTAATACGGTTAGTAGATCCAGAAATGCGGTTAGTAGCAATAATAATATATATATATACAGTCTGGGAAATTCAGTATCGAAGTAGGACTTCCTTCTGAGTTTACGTGTTGCAACTGACTCCTACAAAGCGGTTACCTCACACTCTCACTCTCTCACTGTATCACTCCCGGGTATTTACCGGCAGCAGTACAAGTACACCGGGTGAGTCCACTTGTATAAAAAGGGGTGGACTCCTTAACATGAGGTTTAAGAGAAATAACAAAAAATAGAATTTATTAAGAACTACAAAGGACAGGAATTGTAGAGAGCCATGATCACAAAACCCTGAAGGGACACGACACATAGAAGAAGAAGAAGAAGAACTAGTGTAAATGGATAGCAACACAGGGTTTAGGTCACTTAGTTATGTGCCATGCACGCATACATGGATATGAAGCGTCATAACTACATGGCATAAAGAAGAAGAGAATGAACATACTCAGTTAATTACATGCCACGCGTGATACACGCTTAGACGATCATGTATCTTTCGATACATGACTGACGAGGCAGATTTTTTTTCTGCAGTAAGTTGTCATTTCTTTCTTCGGTAGACCAGATGGCATCCAAGGCTATAGTACCCGGTCTGTCCTGCTATTTACCAATAGCTGTGCGGGGAGAGAAGAGAATACATACCTTTTTCAAGGTTATTAGCACGTTATTGAATGTAATGGATTTGTCTGGAATTCGAACTCGGCTCCCCGATTTCTCAATCCGATCCGCTATCCTTTCGAGTATAAATGCATGCACTTAAGATTTTGTCGTTGCATTTTTTCAAATTGATCTCAGTTATGATCCCAATATTGCTGATAACGCGGTCCAATGAAATCACAAGCAGCAATCGATATATATTTGGCTGCATTATTTCTCTATAGAAAGTAAAAACTCATAATGAGAAAAGAGGGCTTGGAAAATGTGATACTCACAGGACAAATTAAAGGCAAGCGGGATAGAGGAAAACTAAGCGTAGCCGGATTAGCCAGCTTGACTAAATGGATAACGAAATAAGGATTAAGAGAAATAAGAAAAAATAAGATTAATTAAGAGCTACAAAGGACAGGAAATTGTAGAGAGCCATGATCACAAACGTCCTGAAGGGACACGACACATAGAAGAAGTAGAAGGAGGAGGAGGAGGAACTAGAGTAAATGGATTGCAACACAGGGTTTAGGTCACTTATGTGCCATGTACGCATACATGGATATGAAGAGTCATAACTACATGACATAAAGGAGAAGATGCCACGCGTGATACACGCTTAGGCGATCATGTATCTTTCGATACATGACTGACGAGGCAGATTTTTTTTTTTTACGCAGTAGGTTGCCATTTCTTTCTTCGTTAGAACAGATGGCATCCAAAGCTATAGAACCCGGTCGGTCCTGCTATTTACCCATAGCTGAAGAGAGAAGAGGATACATACCCTTCCCAAAGGTATTAGCATGTAAGTGAATGTAATGGATTCAACTGGAATTCGAACTCGGCTCTCCGATTCCTCAATCCGAGCCGTCATCTCCACTGTGCCTCCTATGAACATAGTATGTGACCATAAGAAGAAGAGAATTATACATAGTATATGACCATAAAAATAACAGTAAAATGAAGTGGATATTTCGGGGCTGTTGTGTTATGACATTCCAGATAACCTTGAATACTCGACACTTTCTCTAGAAAGAAAAGAATGGAACTAGCAATTAGCAGTTGCGAGTTCGATCCCTGGATCAGGCAGTGTGTATGCAAGTTGAAACGAGACAAGTGATTACTAAGTACTACTAAATAAGAACTAAACTCGATATCCTTGTACGAAAACAGCAGAATGAGATCAATCTAGACCGTGGATTACATAAAGTGTTCTGTTAAAAAAGTTCCAGTAGTTATTACTATCAATATGCAACTGAGGATGAGTGCAGAACGGCCGAAACCTTGTGATAACAACCAGAAAGTTGGGGACAATAATTTGGGAGCAAATAATATAAATAACGATGAATCCTTGAAATTCAGACAGTAATTCAGTTCGTCCTCGGTATGATGTTAAACTACGTCCGGCAGCAAGGCAACAACTCTTTATTTTCTATTGTTCCAGGTAAGCCCGGAGTAGTAGCACCTGTTAGAATCCTAGCTATAGGTAAATGGTGAACCCTAAACTGGGGTTAATGCATCAAAATATAAAATGTCTTTAAAAAAATTACCAGCAATACATATTTGAAAACAAAATATTAACAAAAAAAACTCACAAAAAATAAAATTTCGGTGTTAAATGACCCATAAAATGTTGATATGCCGTTAAAAAAAAAACAATTCGGTATTAATACCAGGTTTCTTAATTTGTCCGGTATCAATTATTGGTACATAAAATTACGTCATTAATTATAGATTTCTATTTAAATCATACTAATTACCTCTTTCGCGTTATGAGTCTAGTAACCATTAATTGTTTGATCAGATAAAATATTTAATTAGGTTAGCTCAATATCACACATGTGAGAATTGAAATAATAAAATTCAAAAGATTGTAATGCACCATTTTTCTTTTGTTGCTAACAGGTTGCATACTCGTTATGCTAATGGGCAGGTTTCTAATGGAACACAATAATAACCACGCTCGCTACGCAGAGCCATTCGATAAAATACGGAATTCACTTCCTACCAGAAGACGTAATGTGTGGTTGTCAGCCAGAGAAAAGGCCAAGATGCGAAGTAAGAATTGGAAATGCCAAAATCAAACAAGAACAGAAATTTGAATATCTGGGAAAAGTTTTAACAGAGGATTAATAATGTGACACCAAACTCCGATGGAATATTCCAAAGGCAAATAAAGCCTTCCGAGAAAAGAGAAACAAAATCAGCAACATTGGATGTGTGCGATTTTCCTCACAGAACCACATTTCTATCTATGATGAAATTGTCTCGCATTCACTGTCATATAGGAGTCACACAATTAAGTGTTACATGCTTGCGTGATCATATCACTTTCGATATTTCAGGCAGTAGCTTACTATTTCTTTCTGAGGTAGACTGGTTGCCAAACAAACTTATGCTGCTATTAAAGGTGATGATATGGATTCCTAGCTTTCCCAAGGTATTGGTGCGCAAGTCAATATAACAAACTCGACTTGGATTCGAACTCAGTTCTCCGAGTTCTCATCCATTACGCCAAGACACACAGGAGTACTCATATAAAACAACATTTCTGTTCCGCTTTCAGTTTTGTTTTAAAGGAAATTGTCTTATTTCTTATTAACTTGCTTAGTTTTCGTAAACCAACCTACGTTGTCTCAAAGAGATTTCTGATTCTGGT